GGAGAGCCGTCTTTACCTACTGTACACTCCACCTCCCTATATGAAAACTTATAATATACATATGAACAAACACATTGTTGCTGTTGGTTAATTTTGCTGGGACTCAGATTCTGTTAGAACCTCCTGCTGAATCCAACTTTTTGCTTTTCCACATTTGCCTCAATTCCTTCCAGTTGTACCAGCTCAGCTACATGTATTCATGATGCACCACAGCAAAGCGTACTTGTGTATATAGTATACAATAATAATGACCTTTCAGCAATGTTCTGAGTGCAAAATGGAATAGACACATGCCTTTTAATATTCATTAAGGTAATAAAAGGTTTCACTACAATCTGAAAAGCTAAAAATTTAGGTCAGAGGTTTGAAATTGAAGAAACACTAAAAGGAGTTTGATGATTTATTAAAATGCAGCTGTCCAAAGTTGGCAGAGGGAATGCTGGTACTGAGTTACTTTTATTATTACCCAACATCCAAATCAGCCAGAGGGTTTATCAAAGGTCTTCTGGCTAACGATAGTGAGATTTGGGATGATACATTTATATTTTTAGTTCCTAAATTTGCTGACAACACAAACAATATTTATGAAATGTATTTTTTTCTTTGTTTTTTGGGACTCTGTCGGTTGCAGTTTCTAAACTAATGCTCACAATGCTGGTGTCAGTATTAGAACCACAGAACAAGACAGGGTGGATATTTTGCCTTGGAGGTTGAATCACTTATAAAGATGCTATAGTATTCTTTCTTTTGAATAAACTAGTTGGAACAGAGAGGGTTTTTATTCGAGACTAAAACTCTTCTTCCTAATGTGATTTCATTCCAAATGACTAGAGTGCTTTCGCTGTTGCATCACCTGCCCTGATCTATAGGACTCGGTGACTGTTTCACTTGATGTGCTTTGCTTGAGGTTTACACACCATTCACTGCTGTCTTGTAGCAGTCAGTAAATCATCCTTTTGCCTATAACGTGAGACCCAGTTCTACTGATCTCCATTGGGACTTGACCTGCTGGCACTGAGAGGGCGCTTCTCCTGTTTGCTAAGTCCCTCAGTAACAATTGTTTTAAAATACTGGCCAGAGGCAAGTTTCCTTTCAATCACTTGTGTATTAAAGTATTAAAACCTCAGCTGAAATTTTTTTTGCAAACTTTAAGAAAATCCAGAGTTTTTAAAAAGCACGGCAAAAACAAGATAGATTCTTGTTTTAGCGCTAACCACCTGCTTACGTACTACGTACCACAAGGGACTCCCCTCAGACAGCCAGCAGAAACAATCTGGTGCTGAGATTTGTTTGTGTTAGTATTATAGCAGATGACAACATTTCGTCAGTCAGATGTAGCTTCTGAAACCTCTGCTAGTCGGTCAGATTTTTTTTTCCTTTGGATTACAACACGGGGAACCGATATGGGAGAGCCAGCTCGCTACGATCCTCCTCGCAAACAGTCTTCATGACTTTAATGTTGCTATGTTAGAAATGTGTGTAGTGCTCAGACACATGGCTCACACTTGTTGCTGCAGCTGTAAATGCAATTATGTGTAATCGTTGAAAGCAGTCTTTCAAACTGTCTCTGCATGCTATTGGGCAACAAACAATGTAACATAATCACTGCTGTGGATGTCAGTCAATGGGGCAGTCCACCATAAACTGTCAAAGAAGACACAAATACATCATTTTTCTAAATAAAGGATTTAATTACTTCTATCTGCTCTTGACTCATAGAAAAGCCCAAGTCTAATGAGTCCAAAGTTGATGCCAAAGCCATTTCAATCAAGTCGTTGCCATTTTAGTTTTTCTGCTCTGTTGCATCCTCCCATCCACCAAAGCGATAGAGTGCTGCTGTGACTGGCCCACCAAACTCAGAACGCTGTGATTGGCATAACCCAGTACTGCTCAGGGGTCTCATTTATCAAACATTGCATAGAATCCTTACTAAAACCGTACTTAAGCTCAGCAAAAAAATGCACTTACGCCAAGTAAGTTTGTGATCTATCAAACATGGAGTACGCACAGCTGCACGCAATCTCCACTTCATAAATCAGAAACTATCTAGAAAGGTTCTCAGCTGTTTTTTAGTCACATCTCGCCCTCACCATGCCCACTTACTTCCATAAATAGTCAATGCAAAGTGCCTTGTGGATCTCATGCATATACATAAGCTAGCTGTTGCAGCGCTCTGCCAATGACGATGGCGGCCGTAGATCAAGGCAGATCAAGGAAGCGCAATTTCACAAGCAGAAGTTGAGGTACTTGTGGGTGAGGTGGAGAAATGAAAGGAAGTGCTTTTGCGAAACAAATAAGAGAAAATACGGTGTGGCACAATGTTGCTGAAGCCATCAATGCTGAGTTCTTGAGAGAGATCTCAGCAGCAGCACTACAGGTGCTCTCTATGTCCAAAATGTGCGCAAGCAAGGTCCTTAGTCAACTTAAAGTGGCGCACATTTTCCCACTAAGTTTTCTTTCACAAATCCCAAAGTTTGCGTGGAAAGTTGCTTACACAGTTTTCCGACACAGTTTTGTGCATAAGGAAGCTTGATAAATGAGGCCCTATGCCAGTGGTGGACCTGCTGTGGCTACGATGGAGCATGGTTAGACCGGCATGCAGAGCAAAATCATTTTGCTTCGACTACTATCTGTCTAGACTTCTAGGCTGTTTGATATTACTAAAATTCTTGCTAAATTTAATGAGATGCATCATTCATACATTACTGAAGTTACAACACTGAACCAGAATGTTCAGGCTTTGCAGCTCTTTCACATTTTGATTTGAGTGAAGATAAGTTTGTGAAACCTCACCTGTTTTCTTTTTACGTCTCAGAGTTCATCAAGGGCTCTTTATCCTACAGAATCAAGGTCAGCAGCTATAAGAGCAATTGAGTGTTACTAAATCAGAGTACTGCAAAGATCCGACACAAACAGCCATGAGAATGCAAAGAGAAAGACAGACAAAGCAACATATACATCTGCTGAGCTAATTTCTTAGGCTGCAAACCCGTGTCAGGTTATCTGCAAAGGGCCTCTATGGTGAAATCATCAGTTAATTATTGAATATGTTGAATTTGGTATCATCCTTTGATGTGATGATGGTGTGTTTTTAGGAGTTACTGATCTCCTGGCCGTGCAGAAATCCTCACCCATCCCTGTAATGTGTCAGCCCATACAGTCACATGTATCTGATGTCATTTTATGATAAATCTACATCATTGGGGGAGGGGGCCTCACTAAGAAACAAAAACAAATGTGCTCATCCTCATGGGTGATGAAACACCCTTCCTCCCAGAGGGCTGTAATCAGATGTAGGCCAACAGAACAGAGCAGAAAAAGCTACTCAGCAGCCGTGTGTTAAAGGAACAGTTATTTATTTATTCATTTTGAAGTAGGCAGACCAATTAGATCAGCTTTTTTTTCAGTACAGAGATATACGTGTTAAGTGTGGTTAACTGATTTATGGAAACATTTCAAAAGAGAAGAAGTTTTAAATTAAAATTATATAAATGTCCTCATGCTGAAGAAAGCACTGGAGATCCATGCATATTGATGCATTATTTTAGTCCATTTAAAACGGATTAAGGTTTTTGTATCAAAAGTCGTTAGACATTTCATTTTCTCAACTAAAGATTCACGAACAATCCCATTCAAATCCAGGTTGTGACACACATTTTGTGTATTTTAGACAATGCGGTTTATAAATAATGTTTTTTTGTGCAGGAATTCACCCAGTTGTTCATTTTATTTACAATCTATTTGTCACGCTGAGCACAGGAGGTTAGGACCCAAAAACGCAGAACACCAGATCGCTCGAGGCAGGAGCGGATGTTGAAAAATAAAATCCTTTATTTAGGATGATGGATAAATATCCCAAGGGGCAGGAAGCCAAACCAAAAATCCAGAGAGAACTGAACTACAAAAAACAAAGCTCATTCGTGAGCCAGAACCTGGAGCTCCTGAGGAGGACAGAACAACGCTGGCAAAGACAATGGACCAACAAACACTGAGGGACAAGACAGGGTTTTTAACACAGAGGGAAGCAATCAGGAGAACAGGTGACAGGTGTGAGGAGTGAGGTCTAGAGGGAAGACAGGTGCCATCAATGAACTAAATGGGGAAAGAACTTAAGCAGAGGGGAAGATAAACCATAACCTATAAAACACTAAATAACTAAACCTAAAGACTAAGGGCAAAGATAAACAACTAATGACCAGAGGGGTGAGGAGGACTAATACAAACCAATAGGAACTACATGGGAGTAACTTGGAGGATACATGAGGGAAGCCTAGAGGGAGCTGGAGAACACAAGGAGACACATGAGGAGAACCTGGAGAGGGCTGGGGAAGCATAGGGACACACAGAGCCCAAGGGGACACGTGAGGGGAACGCAGAGGACGAACAGGAGGGGGCTGGGGACCAAGGGGACACAGAACATGACACTATTAGGAACAATTATTCCTTCATGCATTTTTTTCTTCACTAAGGTTGTTTGTCTTCACTTCTCCACCCAACAGCAGATGGTCAAAGCGGCACATTTCAACAAATTTTAGTTAAAAAAACATTAGAAATAATTGATAGAATATGTTGAAACTGTGACAAATCACTGAAAAATTCCAAGTGTATTTATCCTGTTCATATTCTGTTTCTACTGCTAAACTACAACTGCTTGTTTTAATGTAACTTTTTATTTTACTTTGTGGGGGTGGGGGTGGGGGGGGGGGGGGTCAATCCAAGCTTGTAAAAAGTGAGAACACAACCTTTAGGTTTTAGAGTTTTATGGATCAGAAGATGATTTAAAAATGATCTGGCCTTTCTTATGGAAGAGGATAGGGCCACAGAAAAAAGGAAAAGAACGAGAATTCACACTTTTTCTCAGAATTCAGATTTTTTTTTTCTCAGAAGTCAAAATTTCAGAATTCTGAGAAAAAATGAGTCTTTTCTCTTCAGTGGCCCTAATCCTCTTCGTACTGAGTCTGTGGTGTGCCCGGTTTTAGTTTAGCTTTGTGTGTCTGCAGGATGATGGTGTTTGGAGTGCTGACACTGATCCTGAGCTGGACGTCTCTGGGAGCTGACCTGGCCACAGCTGTGGTGAGCCCTTTCACTGGTTTTATCCCAGTTTAAACTGCCTCAGACAGCTCTGTCTCTGTTACTGTTACTCACACTCACTGCATGTTGCTGTCTGTATATGTTATGTTATAAATGCAAACCTGACACTCAGTAGCCTTTTTTATATCTCTATTAAACTGAAGTTAATTCAGTTTTAAAATAAAGCCCCTGATAAAATCCTCCTCCTCACCTCCCTGTCTAACAGTCACCGTTCCCTGTGTCTCCTTCTAACATGTTTGATCTCTGCCATCAAACCAGACTCGGCTAAATATAAAACAATAAAATAAAAAGGTACAGACACACCCTTTTGTCACCATTACATCATAATGCACAGCAGATTTATGACTGGTAATAGATCTAACTGAAGCTGACCCAGACAAGGTGAACAGTTTTAATATATTTTTTCTCTACAGCACAATTGTTTTTAATTTTAGCTCTTTTCAAATTCACTTAATATCCTGTCATCTTGTTGAAGTTTGTTGCTTCTAACTTTTCTGCTTCAAGGACAGAAGGCTCATTGGTTGTCTGTGATGCACCAACAGCAGCAGCAAATACAAGTTTATAATTTAGTTTTACTTCACTTCTTAGTGCATAGAAGTCATGGTGGTTTGGCCATTTTAAATAAAAGTTAAGAATTAGGTTCAAGTTAATTCATGGAGATTATTATTGATCTGTATATAATAGAGGTTGGAGACATCTATCAAGCCGGTCCAACCCTTCACCTGCTAGCAAACTCCCATGTCCATTTGGCTCTCCTGGCACTGGTTCTCAACAGCAACCCTATCTAATAGGAAGTTGCAATATGTGTGTCTCTCCTGTTTTTATACTCTTCTCTATAGAAACTCATGCAGCCTGTGCTTTGATTTTCCCCAACATGAGTGCACAGTCACGCCTGACCAGAACTTCCTGTACACAGACTGCTTCATGCATTGCAGAAAGGCAGAGCTGAACATCAGGATAACGTCAAATATAATATCACCCACACACATCCTGTCTTCCTTTACACAGTAAAGATGTCCAACAGAACAAATGAAGGGCCATACAAAGATCTCATCCAGTGGTCCCTCGCTATAACGTGGTTCACCTTTCGCGGCCTTGCACTTTTGCAGAATTTGCAATTTTGCATGTTTTTTTTTACAGCTCATTGTGTTCTGCGTCCAGCTATAAAAAGGTTTGAACTTTGAGAGTGTTTAAACAAGAGAGAAAAGTGAAAATGTTTATGCCTGACTGAGAAAAGTGGATAAAAGGCGTGAGGGGTTTTACAACCTGGTGGTGCGCTGGGACGAGTCTGCGGAGGAGAGGAGAGCGGCTGTGCCACAGCTAGAGTGCATTAGTAATCGGCGCTACTGCATCGTTTTGTACGGAGAAGGAGACGAGAGTCTCTACAACGTGACGATGAGAGACTGAAACACTGGAGTGAGTGTGTGCAAATAAAACTATCCACCCATGCACGCATGCTGGAAATAAAACGGTTGAGAAACATTCTGGGGGTTGTTTGTGTGTGTGTGTGTGTGTGTGTGTGTGTGTGTGTGTGTGTGTGTGTGTGTGTGTGTGTGTGTGTGTGTGTGTGTGTGTGTGTGTGTGTGTGTGTGTGTGTGTGTGTGTGTGTGTGTGTGTGTGTCCAAACTCCTCACTGCCTCTAAGACTTGAGTCCTGTAGAGGAATTTTTCAATATATTTGTCGAATTTGCTTATAAATTTGTGACCGTGTTCTTTCAGTCATTACCCAGCTCCAAATGACCTCAGAACACAGAAAACATCCTGATTAAGTCATCGGTCTGTTAGGGAGGCACACAGAAACAAAAAATCACCCTCAAACTTAAACCTAGGCTCAACAGAATCCAGCTAACACAACATGCATGTCTGTGGTCTGTTGAAGTCCTGCTTGGGAGTCAAACCCGGGACCTTCCTTCCTGGAGGCGACAGTACTAACCAACGACACCACCTCATGACTCATGACTACAACCCTAATTATTGAAGCCATAGACTCAGACAAATGCAACACTGGTGCCATAAACTGTGTGGGCTTTAAAATCAAACTCAGTGCATTATTATGTGAAAATGCCAGAATTAAAGTAGCACCCGGACTGCATATAGTCTGTAAAGAACAGCCTCCATACGTGGAAGTCCTCTTCCACGCAACTCAAACTGAGGTTTCCATCAAAATATGGATCTTTCCACACCAATAAAAACTATTTAAAGCAGGTTTTGACAATACAATGTTGTGAACTATTTTTATAAAATTATAATTTTTCAATATATCTATTGAAAACTGAAGAAACAACACAGTATTTAAAAATTAATTCAAATCCTACCATTTAAAAAACTACATCTTTTGAGAAAGCCTCATTCATCAGTAGTAAACTCATCCCAGGATGTTGTTTTGGTACAGTATGCTTTCACACCTGCACGTTGCATCTATTCAACACTGGTGAAAGACACTGAAGCTCCTGCTGTAGAACTCATCACCAAATTCAAACACGCTACATCAGAAGTAAATGACGAAACTAGTGAAGTCTCATGACCGTCTCTTCATGTAAATGAGTCATTGCTCTGATTGAACCAGATCTCTGCATCATCAAAGAGAACAAGCACAATCTAGCATGCAGGCATCCCTACACATTTGCATTTCTGAGGATCGTCATGGTAACTTCATGATGTTTGACATACATTTTTCTGACTGACAGACACAAGTATGTTTGAATTGGAGGATTCAAACTGTGGGTGTTCCTGTAGTCTACATTGAGTTATTCCCTGATTCCACAATAACTAGATGCGTTTTGAATAATCCCCTCCACACGACTTCTAAGTATAGAACGTGGTTAGTCAGAACTCTGCATTCTCTGAGCTTCTCCGCTGTCCCCTCAGGAATTGCTCCTCAATAGCAGAGGTCCTCGGGATCCTTTGCTTCTAGCAAACAAGCCGGGATTTTCTGAGAAATTCAGCTTGCTTTATCTCATCTGAGTGTTTGGGGCTCATTAGTGTAACCCCCAGAGAAGGTTAAGCTACACACAGTGTGTTTGTCCTGGGCCCGTGGGACATTTAGCATTCAGACAGCACTGTACGGATGAGACTGCAGGCTCATCACTTTTATTATTTTTGCCAATGCCGGTTTCTTGTTAGCTCTCTGCAGTGTAGCAAAACTGGATGTGAGTGACAGAGCCAGGAAGTATTTCTGTCTCGATGTAGTAAAGTGAACTGTCAGAGTAGGATTATTTCCTGTTCTGTCAAAAATTCAAATCAGACGGACCGCTTGGAACTCAACACAACTTTGTTCCCGCTGTAAACGGCGCCTTATGAAATTCTGTGATTATTTATCCAGTGAGCCGTTGGTTTTTTGTTTGCCATTCAACCTTCTTATTTGTTTTTGTTTGTGTTTGTTTTTCAGGGCACAAGCGATTTCTGTGTGTCGCCTGACAAATTCATCATGAGTCAGACAAAAGGGGTCATCACTGCTGGTGAGCCTCAGAGTGCATAATATGAATATAGTGAATAATAATCAAGCTGTATTTGCCAGGGTGACAAATGAAACGTGTTTCTGTTTCCTCCGCAGATATTGTTCATTACTACCTGTACTGCAACCAGACTCTCTCCAATCCCTTTCAGCAGGTAAAGAACAAGTTCTTCACAAAAAATGCATAAATAAATAAATTAATTAATAAAGCTATACATTGGAGGTGTTTGCTGATTTACTAACTCCTTTTCACACCTCGGTTAAAATCATGTTTTACTGTTGAAGAAAGGAAGAACTTGTGGATGTCTTAAAGCCAGGTCTTGAATAATGATGGAGGTCATACCGCTGCTATTCGCTCGGGGAATTAGTAGGTTTGGATTCAGCATGTTGAGCATCTCACATGCGATCCTTTGTGGCACTAGGCTGAAAATCTAGACATGTTAGAAACTTTTTATTCCAAAACAACTTTTCCATTAAATATTTATGCAGTTAAAGCCTGATACATGAAATAGTAGTAGTAGCTATAGTAATTATTATTATTTAGGGATGTCTGATATTCATTCATTTATATATAGGTAGTTTTTGGTTTGACATTTAATTACATTATGTACTGCAGTGTGTTGGCAGGTGTTAAAGTTAAAGGGCTCGAACCCATGATCCACTGATTACAAGATGAGTGCCTATCTCTGGGCCACAGCCGCACACACTAGGTTGCCCAGAAAGAAACGATAAAATAATACGCAGCTGACCCGTGTCAGGTTTCTCTTAACTTGATATTCACTGACCAGAGCCGAGCTGTCCATGATCTGCCAGATTAATAAAAATAAAAAAGTAAATAGTTGTAGAATCGTCTGAGAGAAAGTAAATGGAGCCAACAAAACGGTGCTGTAAGTGCAGCTCTAACAGTAAAACTGACTGACCTTTACTCAGTTTCATCACATTTGATATTGACCTAAAGTTTTAGTTAGCTAAAGCACTAGTTTACTATTCAGCACGCAGATTATTGATTGATGGGACAGATTTCCCAGCATGCCACTGTCACAACCTGTGCTGTCTCACCACTCTGTTCAGTCATGTGTCTTCCCTAATTGCTCCCACCTGCCTCTCGTCTCCCAATCACTTTAGATCCCAGCTCCTCTTGTGTTTAAACCCTCCCAGTTCTGTGTTCCTTGTCCGTTCATTGTTCCAGTGTCCCGCGTGCTTCTAATTAAAACTCGTTTGAATGTCTGCATCAGCCTGCCTTTCTTTCCCCTGCGTTTGGATCCTCACCTCGACCGCTCGCCTCACCTGCCACGTGACAGCCACGCTCTTTCTTGAATGTTGAAAATTAAACTAAATTCATTAATTACAGTTTATTTTTATTCTAAGTGAAATTATCGTTGATGAAATTATATAGACTTATATGTATCAAAGAAAAAATTGACTATAGTTTTTAAGTTAAAAGCCTGACAGATGTATGTCACACTCACAGACTCACCCACCTTGACTCGTGAAGGGGAAGGTTGTTGGTTTACCGTCCAGGAAATGTCTCGGCTGATAGAAGTTAACTGTTAGCGTTAGCAGATCCACCACATATCAGAACTCCGCCAGGTTTGTGTTATTTGTAGAGGTAAAACATCAACGTTGCAGAGCAAACAGAGTCAGTGGCTGAGTCACGTTACGGTTAGCCAATCAGAGGCGAGATGTCCAAATCCTCCTGTGTTCAGCTCTCCTCTCGTAGTTCCTGATACAAGCACATGTGAGTTGCCTAGCAGGCTGAGAGGGCGGAGCCGCTAACAAATACACACATACAGGCTCACAACGACATTGTGACATCATATGGTACCAGCTAATGTCCTAGGGTACCTCTTAGCCAACAGCGATGGCAGATTTAAATTCAAATGCAGTGCAGAGTTTTTTCCTGACAACGGCACAACACTGACAGTTTTAGGCAGAAAATTAAAATTTGTGCTAAAATGTAGTTAAGTGCTAAACTATTGTCTACACGTGTCTGCAGAACGATTAGACAAGCATTTATACAGTTTATCAGGAAAAAAGTTGATTTGGGGGTGACTTGCTCTTTAAGGGAACATGGAATTCATTATTAAGAAACTTCAGGTTCAAAAGTGGTGGGGACGGAATCTCCAATAATCATTAGTAGTGGGGGCATGTCCTCGGCGTCCCAGGCTAAAATTATGTGTGTGTTCTTTACAGCAGCATGACTAGGAAACTCACTAATCCTGTAAACAAGAGAGAGGTCTTAAGGGTATCAAATAGCAGAGGTGGCATTATAGGGTTGCTAACTGTTAGAGTGAGAACTAAAACTTGGAAAGCATTTTTCTAAACCTTTCAAATGTAGGAAAGAGGCAATATAGCATGTCCTTATAACTGTACGTAAAATGGTTTATTGACAAGTTAACAAGATAAACCAGATAATCTGTGCTCTAAAACTGAAACAAGTCCTGTTTTTTATGTTGAAGTTCAGCATTGATAAAAATGTGACACTGCTAGTCTGAGTATACAATTACAGATGTACAAGTGATCTAGCATCATAAATAATATTAAAATCAGAAGGACTGAGGGCAGCCACACACACAAATGTAGATTAAATGTCTACATACCCTTTAAATGGACATTCACTGAGCTCTTTGCTCCAGATAGAACTCATTTCTTCTCCTCCTGCCTCATCTCTATCAGGCTCTTATTGGTCTGTCTAGCCCTGTCTGTCTGAATCATGTCCCAACTTCAGCTCCCAATTCCCAACTCTTTTTCTTACATCGTCCCACTCTTGTATGCCTTGTTTGCCAAAGCATGCCTAAATGACACAAAGCTGCCGAGACAAAGGCCGTGACGATGACAGTTGATGAAACAATCAGAAGATTCTTCTGCTTCTCTTTGATGTTCTGTGCTGCCGTTCTTCAGTAGGAGCAGAGCACAGATTCAGGGTCACTTCACTTACTTCCTCAGTCAGCAGCTAAATCAGCTTCTGCCAGCTCTGACCCAGCAGAGCTCAGATCTTATTATCTGGCTCTTGACATGTTCCACAGAGCACAGCAGGAGAGCGCACACACGTCACCCAGCCTACAAAACGAAGCGCTCCCCATAGGATGACGAACAGACTTCCAACACGTGCAAAGTTTGCTAAATACTTGCAGATGATTGGCTGACAGACTAGTATTTTTATTTTATTTTATTTTTTTGCATTTCTCTGCTGCAGTGCCCTATAGATCTATGGATTCTGGACATGTATTTTTATCACACCCTCATTCATAGACTTCTTTACTGTAGATTTTCTGGACTTTTCCTAGACTTTGCCCATGCAAAACCCACATTTAACCCATCTATTGGACAAAGCATCTGCAGGCAGCTGGATCACAGACACTAAGATAAAATAAAATAAAAAAATCTGATGAGAGGAAAGCAATTCCAGTTATGGATAGTTGAGGTAATTGACCATATCCTGTTTCAGTCTTACATTGTGCCACAGGCCAGGGGGGTTCCAGGCGTCCTGTGTATGATGAATGACTTTGAAGATACAGTTTTATTTTAGAGATGTGACATATTGCTTCATTTAGAAGTTAATTTTAAAAAGTAGTTGGGTGATATATTTCAGGTGAAACGAGGACTAGGGTTATTGTGCTGAAAATGGAGGAATATCTTGCCCTCTGATGGTAAATCCTAAAACCTACAAGCCTGCTGTGATTGATTCAAAATAACCGCTGAAGGTTTCAGCGTTAATCATCTAATTAAAATGCAATTATTTTACATTTAGACTGATAAAAATATGTGCCTTGTATAAAAAGTCTGTAGTTTTTATTACGCTAAGGTAGAGCCTTCAACTGGTTTAGCTCAGGTTAGCTGTAGTTAACGTTTCAAAGTAAACACTATTGACTTTTTAAACGTTTACACAGATTTAAAATATAGTTTGTTGTGTTTTAACATCTGAACATATTTGATTAGTTTCTTCCCTTTGTAAACAGTCAGTGAATAATTGGAATGTATACGAAAGTAAACCTACAAGAGCTACAGCAAGGCTAGGCTGATGTTTGATTTATCTGAAGAGAGAAATGGGTTTAGTTAGTTGCCTCAGCACTCCTAATAATAACATTTGTTAAAAACTGGACATTGGATCACGTCAACTTAGCCTTCCAGCCATGGTTCAGCAATAGAACCCTAAGATTTTAAATTCAGATGAAACTTGAAAAATCCTGGGCAAGAACATGGGGCATAAGTTTGTTTTCTTTATTAATTCAGCTTAAAAAGTGAAACTAATATATGAGACAGACTGATTTCATGCAAAGCCAGATATTTTAAGCCATTATTTGTTATAACTGTGATGATTATGGCTTACAGCCAATCTCAGACAATTAGAATATTGTGTAAAAGTGTCACACTCTAATCAGATAATGAATCCAGAACACCTGCAGAGGGTTCCTGGGCCTTTAGATAGTCTCTCAGTCTAAGCTGAATTACTGACATTAATGGACTTTTGCTCCATGTTCTGATTTTTTGAGTTTCACTTGTCTGTTACTGCTCATAAAAACTCAAATGAAGGATGAACTGCATCAAAAGCATTCACCTAAATGAGCTCATTAAATTTCATGTGACTCATAACTGAGTTTTGAATTATAAAACTGCACTGATACTATAATATAAACAAAAGGCTGTAGATCTTATATTGTTGTACAATGCCCACGTGACACATATATTCATTTCTCCTATTGATTCTACCTAAGAAATGCCAGATCAATTCGACACCTCATTTGCACACTCGTCACCTGCTGTCCATTTTATTTTATTGGTTACAGCCTCTGACCACCTTCCAGAGGTCTCTGACCACTATGCAGATCCAGATCCAGGGTCTGCTTCACTTTGCTGTGCCTCTGTTTCCCACAGCTGAGGTATTTCTGTTCAACTGTTGTAATCTTAGAGTTTGTTCCACCGTAAATGACCTCAGTATTGGTTTTCAATGATATGACCTCTCCACACAGAGAGATTTACTGGGTATCCAGCATTTACTCAACTCTTCTGAGACCAGTCTGCACCAGCTCACCGCCCTGCTGGACTGCAGAGGGCTCAACAAGGTTTGTAAATGGTGACAACGTGCCTTTTTTAAAACTCTTGTTTTATATTGATTGTTGTGATTTCAAACATGGCAGCTTGTGTGAGGGCAACAATAACACTGTTAATGGTTTTTGGTATTCATTTTCTGCATTTGACCTCTTTAGGACTACCTGGATGCAATGGTGGGGGTGTGCTATGATGGGGTGGAGGGTGTGATGTATCTCAGCCTCTTCTCCATCCTTGCAGCCTCTGCCTTCACTGTTATGCTGTGTGCCATTCCAAGGTCACTGAGACAAATCGCCAGCAGGTCAGTTTGTTCTGCTTGTGTCCTCCTGCCTGAGCACGTTCTTTCCACGCTCAGCTCAGTAGTGCAAACTCTATCCTGTTTAAGCCAATACATGCTTGCCTGTTAACATGTCCAATTTTTTGTTCTAAAGTTGCTTTTTTGCTAAAAAATAATACAAAAATAAAAAGTACAACCCTAAAGCCCAGTTCACACAGCAGGGTTTTTAAATAATCAGACAATTGATAAAGCAACCAATTTCACTCATGAACATTCCTCACTCAGATGTGAAATCTCGTGAGGTAAAATGTGATTTTGAAGGAAACAAACATGGCAGTGAAGAAGTGTGATGTGCACTTCTGTCACCTCGCTTTCTGATTGGTAACGCTTTGGAAAATCTGACCATCGTGTTTGTAAGCCCAGATTTATGATTGGAGCGGCCCCATGTCCTCAGCAGACCAGAGCACTCAAAACATGCCACAAATGGTAGGATTATCTGGTATGATATGCTAAAAAAGAGGGCGTGTCTAAAATCAGCATGATTATCCTGCTGTGTGAACCAGGCTTAAGTTTGCTCAAAGGACTGAAAACTGCCAAAAATGTTGTGACCAATGTTTTTGCTGAAGATTTTTCTCTCTGCTCCAAGGGAACGGGATTATGATGACATCGATGAGGAGGACCCGTTCAATCCACGAGCGAGAAGGATGGGCTCTCAGAGCGCCAACCACACCAACATGCATAGCTTCTGCAGCTACAGCAGCAGTATGGGCAGCCAGGCCAGCCTGCATCCGCCCGCCCCCACCGTCTCTAACAACGCCCCCATGTCTGAGTACATGTGAGTGGGGGAACGACACACAATTACATTAATTCATGAGTTAAAGCATCTAACGGACTGGCATGATTCTTTTCACAGGAATCAAACTGCCCTGTTTGGAGGAAACCCTCGATATGAGAACGTGCCCCTGATTGGACGAGGCTCTCCACCCCCCTCGGTGCGTTGGGTCCCAGAAACCAAATCTTTTATATAATATGTTTCCTTTCAAACCCACTCCGTTTTACAGAATTACTAATTTTCTAATGCTAACTTTTACATCACTGAAAAGTAAAAACGGACACTGACAGCCTGTGCCTTTCTCTGCTGTCGATAACTTAACTGAAGCTGACTGACAGCAGAGAGGAGAATTAATACAGTTAATATTTAATTTAGTCAGCACCATTAACCCTCTGGAGGCAGGCATTGCAGATTTACAACATTAAAACCTACCTACCTGGTTACTCCACATATGCATCTCATGAGCATTTTTTAACTCAGAAGTACCCCTGAAGGACTTAGTTGTTCGTCCTTTTATCAAAACTTAGAACCTGAGAGGGTTAAACCTCTCAGGTTCTTTTTCCAGGAGAAAGAGGCAAGTCTCAACTCTTCCTCACTGATATCCCCCCCCCCTACACACACACACACACACACACTCACTCACTGATGGACTACTTATCCCTTGTTATTTCACGTGAATAAAAATAGAACTGTTTTGAATGAAATTTTAATGAGGAACAGCCTCTTGAAGACCTCCAGGTAGCTACATGCTGGATAAGACTGCAATTGAAGGAAATATACATGAGTGTCTCTGTTTTTATTTTAAGATCATTTGCAACTTTAAAACAGGCGTTTATTCAAGTTCATTCAGTGCAATTATCACGGAATAGGAAGTAGACATGAAACAGAATAGGTAATGTTCTCTGCCTTATTCTAATTAACACCAACAAGTTCTAGAGATGAACCCTCTCCCATGAATCGTGAAGCCCATGCAATCATTTTTGGCTAACAGCTTCTTTTATGTTTTTTTATTTGTTTGTCGTGTGTGTTTGTGTGTTTCATTTCTATATTCCTTCTTTCTTTTGATCAACTTTTGGAGATATACTCTCAGCAGTATAGAAATCCAGTAAGTCTTTTCTACTTTCCCTCAGGATGAACTCCCTTCCTTTGTCCTTGGCTGTGTGTGTGTGTGTGTGTGTGTGGTCACTTTGTTTACTGTTTGTTTTCCTGATTTGCATGGCTCTAAACCCCAAAACCTGTTGTCCTCATCTTTTATTTAGTAAAGGTTTATGTCTCCCCCTGGTGTCCACAGGGCTGTACTGTAGTTTGTCCCCACAGGTAGCTCCCACAGTGCATGCACATCTGAAATAGTTATTGTGCTCAGCAGCAACCATCATTCTATAAAACACATGAAAACTGAGAAGTTGTGTTTTTTTATGGAAAGAATTGATTTAAAGGAATAGTCCACTGAAAATGTATTTTGCTAAAATGTGTCTAAAAGCTTCTAATCTGCTTTTTTGTTAAGGATTATAACTGATATCAGCTTATAATCCCCAGCAGGTGCAGGTAAAGGTATGAGATTTTAGATATCAGAAAATTTAAAAAGAATAAATGTACTGAAGCTGCTGCAAAGCCAAACGTTCTACTGCTAGCAAAGTGTCAGGCCTTTCAGGGGTGAACATTCCATTCTCACTTGGTAGGTTTTCAGTGTGCTAGTCCTTTATACCCCCTTTTCCCTTCCCCTTTTATTGTAAATATGAAACTTTACCATCAGAACACACAGTGTGACCTTGTCTGTGTTTGTGTCCTCCACAGTACTCTCCCACTATGAGGGCCACCTACCTGTCCATGACTGAAGAACAAAATAGACACCTTGGTAGCGACTTCCAAGCATAGACTGTTTTCACACATCCAAGGAGGGAAGCAGCATCACTCACCCTCAAAAGCAGGGCTTTGTGACTTTGGATCACAGGAGGACATTTAAAACCAGCCTGTGCAATCTCAGGCCAACAGAATAAATAAAAAGTAACACTCTCTACTGTTACACTCAATATTTAAAGCTAACTGACCCCTCTGCTCTTTGTTTTAAGAATACAAGTATTTCCTAAACTGCTCCTTGTGTTGTTCTGGTTATTCGACACAAAGGTATGAAACGTGAGGAGGTTCCTTCCTGTTCTTCTTCAAAGCTTTCTGCGTTCAGCTGTGATCCGATGTAAACATGCCATAGTAGTTCCTGCAAGTCTGATATTTGTGAAGCACAAACCCAGCACTGACAGCACAATGTATAAGGGGTATAGGTGAAGAACAACATATTAACATTCTCACATGAGTGAAGCTTTACGTCTCTGAAACAAAACTATCTTGAGACCATTGCTTCTGTAAATAAGCTGTAAAAATAACAGACTGCTGTTAAAATCTTGTGCCATTTTTTATATGATTTTGTTCTAGTTTTGGTCGCAATGTCACACAAGATCACTCTTTTTTGTATTTTCTAATAAGTTATAATTAATTCTCTGTATATCCAATCAAAGCTGTTGTTTCTATCATAACTTGGGAAGCTGTGCTGCTCTAGCTATGATCAGGGGGACATTCTGATGATTATTCTTCAAATCCAGCGATCCAAACAGTAATTATTTTGTTAACAGTTTCTACTGGAATTGATTTACATGTTGTGTCAAATATTAATACTTCTTTTTGTTTTGTTTTGGGAGGTTTTAGCATGTCATACTGTAAAGGCACTGAATGTAGTGCTTTATTTTGTGTGGGACCTTAAACTTAAGGGTCTAATTGTGAATTGAATAAACCATCTTTGAGTATGATGTGATTATTTATTTTGTTGTTTGGTGAGCCTAATAAAACTTTTAATTTTCCATCCATCCACTTTTGTCCGCTTATCCGGGGCAGCTCACAAGGGCGGCAGCCTAGGCGGAGAGGCCAAGAGTTCCCTCTCTCTAGCCATTTGAGCCAGCTCCTCCAGTGGAATCCCAACATGTTCCCTAGCCAGCTGTGAGACATAGTCCCTCCAGCTGTCCTGAGTCTTACCGTAGGTTTTCATCCAATTTGGTGTGCCTGGAAAACCTCACCAGAGAGGCACCAGGAGGTATCCTTACCAGTAGTATGGCGGGGTATGGGGGCCAAAATTAAGACTACTGCCCAGCAGCAGGAGGCTATATAAATTCTGAAACAAACTACTGATCTGATTAATGATAAGGCCGGTAACTGAGAGGCTGGCGCTGCTTACTGAGGAATAGCACTTTTACCGGTGTTACTAATAGATACGCTAGGGACTAGCAGCCCTCGGCTGGTCATTGACTGGTTCACACACTCCCTCTGCTGTCTATTAGCATGGATAGGCTAACGTTAGCCTGGATGGGCTGGTGTTAGCATTGGAGAGGCTTGCCATTAGCGTGCCTAGGCTAGCCACTAGATGGATTTCCTACCTCCTCGATGGACCATTAGCATGGATAGGCTGGCGTTAGCATCGGAGAGGCTAGCCATTAGCGTGCCTAGGCATGCCACTAGATGGATTTCCTACGCCCTTGACGGACCTTAAGCATGGATAGGCTGGCATTGGCATAGGAGAGGTTAGTCATTAGCATGTCTCGGAGAGTCACTAGTCAGCTGGTGGCCAGCCTAGGCACGCTAATGGCTAGCCTCTCCGATGCTAATGTCGGCCTATCCATGCTAATGGTCCGTCAAGGGGGTAGGAAATCCAGCTAGTGGCCAGCCTAGGCACGCTAATGGCTAGCCTCTCCAATGCTATTGTCAACCCGTCCAGGCTAACGTTAGCCTATCCATGCTAATAGACAGCAGAGGGAGTGTGTGAACCACTCAATGACCAGCCAAGGGCTGCTAGTCCCTCGCGTATCTATTAGTAACGCCGGTAAAAGTGCTATTCCACAGTAAGCAGCGCCAGCCTCTCAGTTACCGGCGCCAGCTTATCATTAATCAGGTTGGTAGTTTGCTTCAGAATTTATATAGCCCCCTGCTGCTGGGCAGTAGTCTTAATTTTGGCCCCCATACCGCGCCATATCTCTGCACCACGACAGACTGGTACAGCGCCCGCATCACTACAGATGCAGCACCAATCTATCTATCGATCTCGATCTTTCCCTCACTTGTGAACAAAACCCTGAGATGCTTAAACTCCACCTGAGACAATAACTCATCCCTGACCCGGAGAAGGCATTCTATCCTTTTCTGACTCAAGACCATGGTCTTGGATTTAGAGGAGAAGATTCTCATCCAAGCTGCTTAACACTCATCTGTGAACACGTTCTGACGAAGCCAACAGGACCACATCATCTACAAAAAAAGCACAAACCTAGATTCCCCCCAAAATTAACAGCAATACATCATAGGGAGATGATACACAAACATCTGGACCAGGGTGTCAAAAACCCAAGAAGCTCACTGGAGTGAGGGGTTTGATTTAATAGAGCTTTCACTGAAGGATAAATCCTGTTATTCCATATTTTGCTATGTGAAAAAAAAACTCTTTCTAAAAAACATTTGCTAAACATACTTCATTTTGAAACGTTTTATAATGGTGATTGTTTTACCCAGCAGATGGCAGCAAAATATTGCAAAAAAAAGCTGCTTTAGTTAGTCTCGTATGAAAATCAGCCTCAGATTTTCTGCACTATTTCATACATTAACAACAAAAATCCGTTTTGATAAAAAATACATAAATTAGGTTTAATTAATTTGGACCACTTACATTAGTATTTTTCTCCTTTCAACATGTAATGTTAATGAAAAATTCTGCTTCAGAAAAATAAGATACACTAGCTCAGCTTCATGAAAAACCTCCTGACCTTTTATTCTTTAAGCGGAAGTGGGCTGCAGCGCTCCTGTTTACAGTAGCTGACTTGATAGCGCGCGCGCTGCGGATCTCCATGGACAACATGCGCGTACACAGAAGACGCACAAACGCGCGCGGGCTAAACGCACAAAACTGCAGCAGTGGAGAGCAGCCAGGTGAGCAGATAGGGGAAGTGCATCTCGCAGGTGAACAACTGCCTATTCGTAGAGAGGCAGGTGAATTTCACAGTTACGTTTCCAAGCTGCTGCGTGGAAACACGAACGGAGGAGGAGGAGGCGTGGAGCGTCGAGAGAGTGAGAGAGAGAGAGAGAGAGAGAGAGAGAGAGAGAGAGAGAGAGAGAGAGAGAGAGAGAGAGAGAGAGAGAGAGAGAGAGAGAGAGAGAGAGAGAGAGAGAGAGAGAGAGAGAGAGACTTTCTGAAAAGAGCTGGTTAAGTGACAAAAACACAAACGACAAGGTTATCGACCAGAGCTCTTAAATGCTGTGGGGAAGAAAGTTTGTGATAGGAGTAAGAAAACAGAGGCGGTGGGGTTAGTTGGTGGTGGAGGTGGATGCTGCAGGTACCGAACCCACGGAGCAGGATGGTCCAGTGAGTCGTCCGCTGCTGCTGATGCTGTTCATCCTCCTTCTGGACTCAGAGCGAACATGAAGGACACGGGAGAATCTAAAGACCACCAGCTTACTGTGAGTTTGAGTCTTTCCTGCTGTTAGCACGCGCTGTAACTTCTTTAATAAGGCTAGTTATTCACTAGAATCCAGCTGTTAGCAAAGGTCAGCAACAGATCAGCTCTGTAAACGTATTCTAGTTCTGTTTGTGGCTAATTGCGTTTTGGTAAGTTGCTCCAAATATGGCAAATGAATAAAAAGAAACTAGTGCTAAATATAAAACAGTTGCATTTCTTATTATAGTTTCTGTTTTGTTGACATTTCCTGTCAAAATTATCTTGATTTTATATAAATATGAGGAAGTTTTAAGAAGAAGTCCTTTGAGTATAATGAAACTTGGTGACTCATCGGTGCCGTGATTGGCTGAATACTAGCAGGATAAAAGTGGCTACTGTGTATTTTTCATTCACTTTCTCCCTGTTGTTTTTCATCAGACCTCCTAATAGCATCCGCTGTTGGTATTACATGTTCCATTTCCCCTCACGCTGCCTGCAGTGTGTTCTGCAGCATGCACCTGAATTATTGAAGTGGCACTTTTCAGCTGCCTTGGTCTCCCTTGTCCGGCATGTAATAAACCTTCTGCAAGGTGCTGACAGAGAAGGGACCCCATTATATCCATCTGGTGCCCTGGTGAAACTAATATCAGCACCACTGTTGTTTCTATATGAATTGTGCTTCAAATGCAGTGCAGATTTATTTCTTGTTGCAGTTGCATGAGATTGTTTTATAACATCAAACACTGCTGAACTCTGGATGATTTGATGAAAATAAACGCACGCACAGGTTAACAGCAGGATAGCTGAATGTATTATTCAACATAAACAACACAACCCTCTACTTTAGTGTTTTGCTTCAGCTTAAGGCAATTCAGTGTTCATAATTTACACTCCACAGCTGCAGTGGACTGCTTTATCCAGAATTGTTCTCATCTATAGACGGCATTTATGAGTTCTGCTTGGTTCTTCAGCTGTTTTGCAACGTTGACCAAACATTTCTAGTTTCCAACGTCACCTTGTGTGTGTGTGTGTGTGTGTGTGTGTGTGTGTGTGTGTGTGTGTGTGTGTGTGTGTGTGTGTGTGTGTGTGTGTGTGTGTGTGTGTGTGTGTGTGTGTGTGTGTGTGTGTAGTTTTAAGGTGAAAATAACTTAATGTAACATTAATATATATTTTTCTTTAATAACACCCAAATGAGAATCTAAGATGAATGATTTTTTCCAGATATAACAGAGAAAAAGTATTACACATGTGGACATTAAAACGGTTTTATGAGGGAATCGTATCACTTCTTTGCTTACAAGCTGGTAGCATTTATTATGTAGCTTCTTTTTTCTTTCTGTCTTTTTTTTGTATTCTGCTGAAGAAACATGATTCCTGATGAAATCTGAAGGAAATATGTTTTACTTGCTTTTCTTTCTTACTAATTATACAAAAAACAAAATAAATCACATTTTAAACGTGAGTTAAATTCACTACTCATTCTCACAAATGTCAAATTTAACCAGATTTTAGTTTAAGGTAAAGCTATTCTTCAGCTCCGAGCAAGTCTAATCAGATATTTCTAAATGTTTTCAACCCAAGGTTTAATTTAAGATGAAAATGACCTTTGAATCAGACACAGCCTTCATAAGTGTGTGTCAAATGGAAATCTTGTGCTCCTGCGTGACACCGAATTTCTCTGTTGATGAAATTCAAAGCTAAATGAATTCACGGTGTGTGCTGCAGGTCGCCTTGAGGATTCGACCCCTCAGCGATGGAGAGCAGGAGGAGGGGGCCACCATTGTGGCCCACAGAGTGGACGACCAGGTGAGACGGCCATCTTTTTTTACTCTTATCTACGTGTGCTCGAGTGAGCGATGAGGTCACTTTGTGTTTGTATGGGAGAAAGCTGCGGGCTTTGTTTTCAGGTCCTCCCTGCCCGTCACGAGCCTGCAGAGATAAGGTATCTGTGGGGACCTTGGGAAAAGCAGCAGTTCTTTTTAAAAGTCGTTTGGAAAGCTCAAATGTCACATTTAATTTGTGAGTGAATGCTGGATGAGTCAGAACTGCATGTGACCTTTCTAACGATCAGAAAAAAAAGAAATGATTCCATAAACAAACAGCTGCACGCTCTGAAAGGCCGGGGTTAGGTCCATGTCAGCCCCTGCCGAGCTGAGAGCTCCTAATATGAAAGATTCATGCTGGTCCTGGTTCAGCCTTCTGTCACACATAAACTCAAGGTTACCACCACAGACGCTAGCAGTTATTTTAATTTTGTTATAAACATTTTCTGCCAGTTAGAAACACAATTAGCGTTACAGATTATGTTATTAGATGAACTAATGTTCTTATGAAAACACGGCTCCACCACCACTCTGCATGACATTAAAAATTATATTTTAGTCAGTTAGATTTATATCTTCAGTTAATCTGGATTTTTACTTTGGAAGCATTTGTTGCATGAATTTATGGCGTTCACAAGGCCATGACTGCTGGTGACACAAATATATTACATATATAAAAATGTTTTCAGTTGGAATTGGTACCTTTGGCGACATTTAACCTGAGATCAAGGGAATATGGTGAATATTGTTGCTGGAATTCAGTGACAAAGCTCTTCTTCAAACACCTTTTGTTATTCGTGACTTCAAATTGTGTTTTTCTTTTTGGGACTCTGGTAGTTTGTCCTGAAGTTGAAGTGGTAGCAGCTGGCTGTTTCTCCTTCTATGGTATTAATGAGCTCAGAACCTCTCACACCAGTGGTGTTCGACTGCTAAATGCACAAGTGCGGAATGAATGGAGGACCCAGGGAAGTGCGGATGTGCAACAACCGGATCGTTCCATGCTGGCTTTCAGTCTAAAAGATGTTATTGATGGATGTTTAAGTCAAATGTGGTAGAAACACTTAATTAATTTTCTAGTTTTTTAAATTTCTTTCCACAATATATGTATAGCTATGCTATGTCAGAAGAGGTATAAAACATTTTTAAGCTTATTTGTTTTCCAAATATGGAGTTGCAAAACTTATTTTTGATGATTTTTGGTTATTATTACCCATCAAAAAAGGTCCAATGTAGGCATATTTGTAATAATCCTAGTTAGTAAAAGTTGATCTACAGCCTTATGGAAAGACCAGATTCATCATATGAAACTGGTGGCTGCACAAAATCACTCCCGAGAACCACCAAATGCCCACGGGCCTCATTTTGAACTACTTGTTCTAAAATGTTGCAATCTTAATTTTACAAATCCCCAAATCCTCCAGAAGCTATCTCAAATTTCTCTCACTTTCAGACTCATGGGGAATAAAAGAAGGGTTTCAGGTGCCTGAAGTTTCACTATTTTGAGAGAAAGGTTGTTTCTTGAATTTTCCCAAAAAATGCTCAAGAATCCAGTTCCAGCACCAGCAAGAAAATTATAAACCCCTTGCAAAATGGTCAAGACATTGTGGAAATATTTTAATAAGTCGTCTGTAATTTGTCACCAACAGTCACAGTTCGACAGGAACCACCCACAAGTAAATAAACGATTAGTAAGCTAGCTAGCAATGACATTCAAAACATAATTGAACCCAATTAAGACATATTTTTCTTTTATTGGTTAGACAAGCGAATTGTTGCACTATATTTACACACCGGACCTAATGTGTATTTACTCAGTTACCATGTGAATTAAGAAGAACGTGCCACATGTGTGAGCTCCATGAGGACCGTATTAACCATTAGCTTTTACTTTCAACTCGTCCCCCTTGGCGACCTTTTAGCAGGATGTGGAATGATGATGAAGGCAGTGCAGAGACTAATGACTGAGAACCTGCAGAGGTGTCTCCTCTCTCAGTGTGGGCTCATTTAAACATTAGGGCCTCAGCCAGAGGTGGGCAGTGTTTCTTAACAAAGACAAAGCAAGAAAAGTAAAAGTGGAAACAACTGCCAAAGTCACGCTGACCTTCTCTGTTGTGGCACAGGTGTGTGCCAGATGACGGGTGGAGGGTGTAATTAGATTGGAAGTTTCTGGAAAACACTTCTAGAAACCGATAAGCCGGTGCGTTAAGATCGGACTTGTTTATCAGATGTAATTAAATTACAGCAGCTCTTAGGTACAACATCAGCACTTGTGTCTGCCATGACATCATTAAAACAGGCTGGGACTCGGGGGATTAGAGCATAACAACAGGAAGGCGGTTACGGTGCTGACACAGCCCTCATAACGAGGTGTTGTTATTGTCTCCAGCTCAGCTAAAGCGCAGGTAGAAAGCTGCAGTATGTGGATTTTATTCCCAGAGAATAGTGTGGAACGTCTACAGAGAACACCTGACTGGAACCCTGCTGCATGGTCCCTGTTAGGTTAAATCAGGTTCTCTCAGGCACGCTTGGAGCAAAGGATTAGTGCAGCTAAAAGTGTCCGTTTGTTATTGTGACAGCAGGACTGAGGGAATCTGTTTTGGAGGGTTTACCTGTGCTGTCCTCAGCAGAATGGACAGAGGTGATGAGGAAGTTCACAGCAATATGGATGCAGTGAGATTATACTTGACCTCTTTGAGACCCACAACACTATTCAAGCAAATAATAAACACAGACTTTATTTTAAAAAACTATGCTCACATTTTAAGGACTCCACAAAGAAGTAGTGAGGTGGTAGACGTGAAGGCCATATGGGCTTTGGGCTGTGTTCAGACAGATTAGCTGATGGCTGGCTTGGCTGACTGGGAGAAGCCAGACCTAGCTGTACTAGCAGAAAGCAGACGACTCAAAGCTGGCTAAGTCTGTGGAGATGAGCTCATGGGATTTGTTTTAGCTCAGGTTAAGCCTTCTGCCACCTGCTATTTTTCTCTTTTTATTGTTCTTCCTCCCCACCCCACCCTCAGGACAGGATGAAGGAGTCAGCATTCCTCTTACCTCAGGGGGTTTCAGTGGGGAGTACCTCGTCAGAGACATGGTCAAGTGGAACTTTGAGTCATGTTTTTAAAAAATTTATGTAATGGAAAGTTGTGAACACAAAAGAGCATCTTAATGAACCCCTAATACTCCGGTCAGAACTGGAGTCTGACTCGGGGCTCTTTAGTGTTTATAATAGCTAATAGATGGTAATCAAGTAGTTTGTGTTAGCTTTCTAAACAGATCACGCTTGAGAGCAACCTTAGCTGTGGCCTTTGAGGACTCAGACAGCATTTCCTTTTCACTTTAATTATAAAACGCCACGAGAGGTGAGAGAGGCCACTCCTTAAGAGGCTAACAGCAGAGCTAAGTTTATCCCTTTAGAGACAAAGATAGTGCTTCAGCCCAGTGAATGGGACACCTGCTGGCAGGCTTTTGTTGTCCCGCATTTTATTTTAAGCACATTACTAAGATTATTTCTGGCTGTAATTGCTGATTTATTTTACTATAGTACCATTTGTAAATGTACTGACGTGTCTTATTTACGCCAGAAACTTCTAAATCATGTTTGCAGCTGTGCTGGTTGGTCTATATGGCACATCGAGGTGCTTTACAGTGAGACCCCGTCTCCATGGAGACACATGAACAAAAGTCAGGGCCATTGTTTGTTTTTGTTTGTGCTTAATTCCTGTGCCACGTACAGCTCTACGTGTACAAGACACAGGAAAACATCAAGGTCTTGTTTCTGTAGTGTCCCCAGGTAAAGCTGTTGGTCATCAGTGCACGGGTCGATTGTTTACGGTGTCAGTAAATACAGTAGATGATAGTATTGATGGAACCATCTTCTGGTCTTCATCTAAGAGGAACATGGCTGACAGAGGACAACTTAAAGAGCAAGTCAACCCCTACCAGAGTCTAACTCCACTCCCACTTCATGTTTGAAAAATGCAACACATGCTGTTGCCTGGCAGACCGAGGGGGCGGAGCCGCTAACAAATACACACACACTCAGGCTCACCACAGCATTGTGACATCATAATGTACCAGTTTACATCATAGCATACTTCTTAGCCAATAGCGGTGGCAGATTTAAATTAAAATACAGTGCAGGATTTTTCCCTGACAACGGCACAACACTGCCAGTTTTAGGCAGAATATTTAAATTTGAACTAAGATGCACTGAAGTGCCAAATTATTGACGACACGTGTCTGCAGCACGATTAGACACTCGTTTATTTAGTTTATCAGCAAAAAAAAGTTATTTGGGGGTGACTTGCTCTTTAAAGTTCTTTATAGAAATGAAAGCAGGGAGGCCTTTTTCTTCTGTAGCTCTTTCAGAAAAGAAAAGCAAACCTCAAGGGCAGGTTGTAAGCCCGGAGCAAAAGCAAGTAAGCAAACAATGTCACATTTTGCCCTTAAAAAATTTAGAACAAACAACCTTCTCCTTGACTACATGTACTAGAGTACCCCGTGCAGTAAACTGACTAATTTTCTGCTCTTGTGGAAAACAAAGCCACCCATCTCAGTTGCTCAGGCTACGGTTTCTGACTGCCTTCATGCATGTCTGTCAGTGACAGGAGCTTCAAAAGGCTTCCGTCTTACGGCCTAGACGGTAAAAGCTTCTGTGCTCACAAACTAAATACTACGTTTAAATCACACGACTGATTTACTCACATTCTAACTTGCTCTGCTGAGTTTGTAAGAAACAGAAAGAAAACAATAATGTGCTAGCAGGTTATAAAAACATTTCAGAACATCCTGACACTGAAAATTCTGAGTTTTATTTGTGTGTGTGTGTGCGCGCGCGCGTGTGTGTGTGTGTGTGTGTGTGTGTGTGTGTGTGTGTGTACTCAGCGACTGCTGCTTTAATTTTTGGGTAAATTTTGGGTGGATTTAAACAAAACTCTTCTTTTTTCTACCGGTAAAATAGCAGAAACCCCCAAGAAGTATTTT